GAAATTGTGGTAATTTCTGAAACCGAAAGCGTGTCCAACGTTTGGCTCATGTCTTCGGCTCCGGCGATAACTATGGCCTGAATTGTGGTCTGAATTGGGCTTTGGCTGCGAATTAGCGCTCATTTCCTTGGATGCGATCACTTCTGGACACAAATGGACACTAAATATACTGATGACTGAAATATGAAACTAATAAATGAGTGAACGGTTGATATGTTTTCAATGACTTGTCGTTGATTTGTAAACCAATTGCCAAATGAGTGCTAATTTTATAGCAAATGAATGCCTAAAACAAGTCAAATATGTTTTCCACTCAAATGTGTTGTGTAACCAAAAAGTCGTTATTATTTCGTTTGCATTCAATAATGACGTTACGTTTCGCAAGAATCGAGAAATTGATTGCAATTTGCAAATATAGTTATCTGATCAGTGTCATTTTATTTACAATATGCTGGATACTTTTGTTATTAAACTGTTTGACAGTTATTTGGGTAACAATCTTATCGTTGGATTCATATGGAGTGAACTGATTGTCTCATAAAACATCATTTTATGCATAAGTTATATGAGAAATGAATGATTATTTTATTCTTTATAAGAATATTCTTGTATTTAATGCTAAAGAATTCATTTGATAGTTTAACTTGATACTAGGTAAATCATTTGCAAGTCAAACAAATATAAAGTATAAGTATATTTATTACTAAAAATTATTTACAGTTAATAGCATTAAGTTTAATATTAAGAATATCTAGGTTAGATTTAAGAGTGTTTGGATCGAGTTATAACTATATAACTATACTAGGTTATATTAATTAAGCCACGGATGGGACACAACAACTGACATTTTAAGTCTATTGACGACAACAGGTTCCAAGAGTTCTCTAATCAAATTGAGACAATTTTCGGTATAATTATACTTCATATTATCAGTGATAAGACCATTTAAATAATCATTGTCTTTCATATCCTTGAGGGCGGTTAGACACAAGTCTTAGTCTTCACCATCCTTGATATTAAATGCAAATTTTGCGGCAATCATCAAATATAGACAGACTCCCAAAGACCACTAAAGATCCGCCACAGAAAATGCCGAACCCGTGAGCCACGTGTTCATACACCACACGTTGAACCCCGACCAGTGCCACAACCAGGCGGAGTGTGTGGCGGCCGTGCAAAGGGTGCAGAACTGGCATATGGATGGCCGGCACTGGTGTGACATCGGCTTTAACTACCTGTTGGGCGGTGACGGCCGCATATACGAGGGCAGGGGCTGGTACGCCGTGGGGGCCCACACTCTCGGCATGAACGACAAGTTAGTGGCCATCGCACTGATCGGTAACTACGAGTCGGTGGCGCCGCCTAAGAAGATGTTAGACTTGGCCCAGAAGTGATCGAGTGCGCCGTCGAGAAGGGTGTGGTGTCCGGGCTCTACCAACTGCACGGACATCGGGATCAAATGTGTTCCTCAACTCCCGGTCAGCGCTTGTATGACATCATTAAAAGCTGGAAGTATTTCAAAGGAGGACCACTAGACACTTATATCTGTGAAACAAATGTTACAGGTAATATATTTAACATGTTATAAATGTTGTCATTTAACTTATTAAAAATTACCAAACACAATTAACAGGTCCGTCAAAGTCAACCAAAATCAAGGGTTAATCCAATTAATTCATACAGTACTGTATTACCACTACTGTACACATATTTTTGGTTTATAATAACTTAAAATTGGATAAAATATGTGCTATAATTTTAAATTATCATTTACTTTTTACAATGATTATAAATGTATGTATATTAGAAATTTATTTAAATAATTTACTTAAAGTATTCTTTAAAAATTTTAATTTTGTCTTATAATTTACTTTATATTTTAAAATATACATTTAAACATGGTCAGTCACAGTTATCCTAAGGCAATGATAAACATGGCAATTTCGTATATTAGATCTGTATAATTTTGTGGTTTGTGTTAACTTTTAATATTTTTACTGCTGAAACAATTAATTATAAATGTCCCGTAATTAAGCCAGGAAAAATGTTCGGCACTTGGCAACAATGAATGTAAAGTGGTCGAGTACTGGTGCCCTACTAATCCAGCACTGTTATGTTGTAAGCGATCATGCGTTAATTATTGTATGGTAATTGATAACTAGTAGCATGACTTAACACACAATATTCTGTTCATGGTAAACCAAGGTTAAGCCGTTTATTTATTTAGTTAATAAAAATTTTAATTTTATTTCATGTTTATTAATACAATGTTAGAATTAGTATTACAATCTATATTACTCTTTATTGTCAACGGATATATTTTTGATTTTATTCACTATATATTCAGCAAAAAATGTCTTATTATAAGACAAAAGCTTATTTAATGTTAATCCAAATTCAACACTGTTTTCGGTTATGATATTTTTAGAGATTGACCATTCACTACTACCCTGTATTAGCAGGGTACATGTGGGTCTTTGTCTTGAATCATAATCAATCATTTTCATTAAGATACCGTAGAGGTGTTCAATATGAGCATATAGTGTAGTGTATTCATATATATCCAAATATATGTAGAAATCCATATATTTTCTAATAAAAAATTATAATATTAAATTTTTAAAATATTAATTAAGCGTGAAATATTGCATATTAGCTATTGGTCATGTACCTAGTAGGTGATTCTTCATCAAAATATTGAAGATTAAATATTTCTTGCGCGATAATACCTAAACTAAATATATCCGCTTTAGTAGTATATTTAGCTTTATCTCCATTTGCGTCAACTTCCGGTGCTTTATATCTACTAGTTCCCAACCTTGTGGTGTGAATCGCGGATTCAGATTTGTGATCAGTAGCCAACCCGAAGTCACATAACTTAATAAATCTACCGTTTCTTACATTTTCAGCAATCAATATGTTTTGGGGTTTGAGGTCTCTGTGAATGATCTGTGGTTTCAATTCATGCAAATACTGAACACATTTCAGGATTTCAAGGAATATTTCACATGAAATGAAGTACTCGTAACAATCCATAGGCTCACTCGGTTCTCGACAAAATATTAGAGGTTTAAGTTCAATAATATCCATCAAATTCTGGGAACAGTACTCCATCTGAATGTAGACGTGTGTGAGCTCTTCCCAAGAGCCGTAATACTTAACGACATATTTTGATTCAACTTTAAGTAGACTTTTAATTTCTTTAATAATTTCAGATTTTTTGGTAGGGTCTATTTCAAATATAATTGAGTAAATTAATTTAAAATCATTTAAAGCCCAAATATGTACCACGTAATTCAATCTGCTTTACAGCGTATATTTGGTCATCAAGTATTTGGCGAACCATGTATACTTTTCCAAATCCACCTTGCCCAATTATTCCCAAATTAATGTATGTATTTTGAAAATGACTATGGTTAGTTTCTATAAAAAATTGTTTAATTTAAAATAATTTATTTAGTATAATAACAAAATTAAGTTTCTGACTCTTTCCATAAGGTGTATTAATGAAAATTAAAATACATTTTATTTTTTATAAGTTGGTTAGCAATTTATGTTCTACCAATTGTTCTTATCAAGTAAACTTGTTTTATTCTCAATCTGGCCAAAAACTAGCCTATATCCATTATAACATATAGGCTATAGGCTAGTTTTGGCCACATTGAGAATAAAACAAGTTTACAGTGCTATAGACTAATACAGTGCTATACACATTGCAGTGAATGTCAAAGAATTGAATCAATGAATGCATGCATTGTATAGCACTGTATGGAAA